AGCAGCAGAACTAGAACCGATGAAGCGGCGGCGTCAACAGCAGCAGCAACAGCAGCAGCAGCAGCAGCAGGAGCAGCAGCAGCAGCAGCAGCAGCAGCAGCAGCAGCAGCAAGAAGGAGGAGTACAATATATTTTGTTAACCCCACATCTCGTCCCTGGTGCTGATTTGTCTTTTATTTGTCTTCAATTTATTTTTAATGGTTTAGGAAATTTCACACAAAAACATTTTTCTATAAAACACCAAATTCATCTACTCAAAAAAAAATATAAACCCTAAACCCTAGTAAACCCTAGTAAACCCTAAACCCTAGTAAACCCTAAACCCTAAACCCTAGTAAAACCTAGACCCTAAACCCTCAAGGATAAAAAAAAAGTAATAGTACAATGTTTTCTTTAAACTACCAAATTCATCTGCTCAAAAAAAAATATAAACCCTAAACCCTAAACCCTAGTAAACCCTAAACCCTAGTAAACCCTAAACCCTAGTAAACCCTAAACCAAATGCTAAACCCTCAAGGATAGACAAAAAGTAACAGCACAGTGTTTTCTTTAAACCACCAAATTCATCTTCTGAAAAAAAAGCATAAACCCTAAACCCTAAACCCTCAATGGTAAACCCTAGTAAACCCTAAACACTAAACCCTAAACCCTAAACCCTCAATGCTAGACAGTAATAACAATATAAATTTTTATATACAAAAAATGTTTAGGGTTTAGGGTTTAGGCTTAACCCCTAAACCCTAAACTACAAATGATAAGCAGGATAAGCTAAACCCTAAACCCTAAACCCTAAACCCTCAAAACCGTCAAGAGGGGAATGCGCGCGGTGTCTAGACACCTCAACTCTTCCTGCTGCTGCTGCAGCAGCAGCAGCAGCAGCAGCAGCAGCAGCAGCAGTAGCAGCAGCAGCATTTGTTTTTATTTTGTGTTTAATAGACAACAATAAGATGTCTGTATTTTTTTTTCTTTTTCTTGATTCTTCCTATGCTAGGGTTTAGGGTTTAGGGTTTAGGGTAATTTGAGGGTTTAGGGTTTAGGGTAATGTGAGGGTTTAGGGTTTAGGGTATTTGACGAAAGAGACAGCTGCATATATCTGTTGAGGGTTTAGGGTTTAGGGTTTAGGGTTTGGGGTTCAGGGTTTAGGGTTTAGGTTTTAGGGTTTAGACACCTGCGCCTCTGTATATATCAAACAGAAGCAAACCCTAAACCCTAAACCCTAAACCCTAGGTTATATATAAACCCCAAACCCTTTTTC